TTTTATTATTTCCATGTGTTTTATGTGTATACTTGTCCTGGTCACGTGGTCCACACGAGGCAGAGTTGGATTGGGCGCCGATTCTAACATCGATTCTAACATCGAATCATTCCCGTGTAATTAATTTCACACTCTTAAGTTTCCACGGTCATCGGTTATAGTGGGGATCAAGCCCCAAGGTTGATTAATTAGCGTGATCGATCCAGACCTCGATCATTGCTCGGTGTTGCTGGTCTGGTGGTGGCAGCGTAGAGGCGACTCTAGGGTTTTGCTCAAAGCCTAGGTCACGTCATACTGGGTGTAGAATCCTAAGTCGGTCAATCGTCTTAGGACCACGTGGCGTGGAGTTGGCTTTGGTAAAAGTTTTGGAGTCCCTTGTAGAGATTAAAGAGTAAGAATACGGGTAGAGGGGGAGAAGAAGGAAGTTAAGTACAGAGAGAGGAACCCTTACCCGTGCTACATTGTTTCTGATATATGTAAATGATCTCCCGGAGGGTATCGATTCATTTCTCTCAATGTTTGCGGACGATGCTAAAATTATGAGAAGGATTAAAACAGAAGAGGACTGTTTGAGGCTTCAAGAAGACCTAGACAAGCTGAAGGAATGGTCGAACAAATGGTTGTTAGAGTTTAACCCAACCAAATGTAATGTAATGAAGATAGGTGTAGGGAGCAGGAGGCCAGATACAAGGTATCATCTGGAAGAGGAAATTCTTCAGGAGTCAGAGAAGCAAAAAAGATTTGGGGGTTGATATCACGCCAGACCTGTCTCCTGCAGCACATATCAAGCGGATAACATCAGCGGCATATGCCAGGCTGGCCAACATACGAACGGCATTCAGAAACTTGTGTAAAGAATCATTCAGAACTTTGTATACCACATATGTCAGGCCAATCCTGGAGTATGCAGCCCCAGCATAAAGTCCATATCTAGTCAAGGATAAGACTAAACTGGAAAAGGTTCAAAGGTTTGCCACCAGACTAGTACCCGAGCTGAGAGGTATGAGCTACGAGGAGAGACTACGGGAATTAAACCTCACTTCGCTGGAAGACAGAAGAGTTAGAGGGGACATGATCACCACATTCAAGATTCTGAAGGGGATTGATAGGGTAGATAAAGACAGTCTATTTAACACAAGGGGAACACGCACAAGGGGACACAGGTGGAAACTGAGTGCCCAAATGAGCCACAGAGATATTAGAAAGAACTTTTTTAGTGTCAGAGTGGTTGACAAATGGAATGCATTAGGAAGTGATGTGGTGGAGGCTGACTCCATACACAGTTTCAAGTGTAGATATGACAGAGCCCGATAGGCTCAGGAATCTGTACACCTGTTGATTGACGGTTGAGAGGGTGGACCAAAGAGCCAGAGCTCAACCCCCGCAAACACAACTAGGTGAGTATAACTAGGTGAGTACACACACAGAGTAGGCCAGCGACGGTAGGAGACACACGCGATTAGCGAGGTCCACGGAAATTCGTCAATTTCTCGGGACATTGAAGGATTATTGAGGCTAGATCATAGTATTTGGCCTCTCGCAGTGTGTAGCTAGCAGGGTGCTAAATAGCATAGTCATATCGCTAGTGATAGTGCAAAAAAAACGAAGTGTAGCTAGTGGAATCACCGGTGCATACAGTGTGGAGGACCGTGTAGTGACCTGACCTGACCTGACGGCCAGGTGGGGACGGCCCACCGTGGAACTGCTGACTGTGTTTGTTGGGTGGTGACTGTGTCTCCAGAGATTTGTGTAGAAAAGAATCGACATCGTCAATCTACTAGCACTTAGAGAATCACCAAGTGGAAAGGCGACGACGGAGCACCATCGTCAACCATACATCATCATTATTCATCTAGTTGTGTGAGCGGAAAACATACTGGTATGTACCCCCTCTCTGGTCAAGTTATCAGGTGTACAGTGTGAGGTAAAATATTATCAAATTCTTGTTCAGGATAGTATATATATTTAAAATCTCAGTGTGGCTCATTCTGGGTAGAAGTTACCGCTTACAGAAACTAGTGACACGCACACGCACGCACGCACGGACTCAAGCCCACGTACGTATGCACGCACACACACACGTACACACTGGCTAGAAGGGATTAACACCTTTTGTGGAAAGGAGATAAAACCTCTCATAATCCACCCCCCTCTCTTACTCCTTCTCTTCCACCTCTCTTACCTGCTGTAAGCTGAACACCTCACCTCCTCTTTACCCCATCCCACGCGCACACACATTCTCTCTCTCTCTCTCTCTCTCTCTCTCTCTCTCTCTTGCTCTCTCTCTCTTGCTCTCTCTCTCTTGCTCTCTCTCTCTTGATCTCTCTCTCTCTTGTTCGCTCTCCCTTGCTCTCTTTTGCTCTCCTGCTCTCTTGCTCTCTCTCTCTCTCTTGCTCTCTTTCTCTCCCTTGTTCTCTCTCTCTCTTGCTCTCTCTCTTGACAAGGGGCAAAATGGCAGGAGGCCACAACAGGGACGCAAAATTAATGAGAAGAGTTGTGACAGACGAGGATTGTATGATCCTCCAAGAGGACTTAAACAGGTTGCAGAGATGGTCAGGGAAATGGCTACTGGAGTTTAACACCAGTAAATGTAAAGTTATGGAAATTGGATCAGGTGATAGGAGACCAAAGGGACAGTACACAATGAAGGGGAACAGCCTACCTGTAACGATTCGAGAAAGAGACCTGGGAGTGGATGTGACACCTAATCTAACTCCTGAGGCACATATAAATAGAATAACGACAGCAGCGTACTCTACACTGGCGAAAATTAGAACTTCATTCAGAAACCTAAATGAGGAGGCGTTTAGGGCGCTTTACAATGCCTGCGTGAGACCCGTCTTAGAGTATGCCGCGCCATCATGGAGCCCCCACCTGAAGAAACACATAAAGAAACTGGAGAAGGTTCAGAGGTTTGCGACGAGGCTTTTCCCAGAGTTACGAGGGATGGGACATGAAGAGTGTCTGCAGGAACTGAACCTTACGACACTAGAGAAAAGAATGGAGAGAGATATGATAGGGACATATAAAATACTCAGAGGAATTGACAAAGTGGAAATAGATGAAATGTTCACACGTAATAATAACAGAACGAGGGGACATGGGTGGAAACTGGAAACTCAGATGAGTCACAGAGATGTTAGGAAGTTTTCTTTTAGCGTGAGAGTAGTGGAAAAATGGAATGCACTTGGGGAACAGGTTGTGGAAGCAAATACTATTCATACTTTTAAAACTAGGTATGATAGTGAAATGGGACAGGAGTCATTGCTGTAAACAACCGATAGCTGGAAAGGCGGGATCCACGAGTCAATGCTCGATCCTGCAAGCACAAATAGGTCAGTACAAATAGGTGAGTGTGTATACACACACACACACGCGCGCACACACACACACGCACACGCACACGCACACGCACACACACACACACACACTCACACACACGGCTGAACACTATAACTGGTTGCTGTACCTGGCCTAGACCCCAACATAACAGTTACAGAAGGCGTTATGGAGCCTCCAAGCTACTAGGTGAGTGTGGTAGTGGGTTTAATGTCCAGTAGTGATGTATGTACCCTTAATACATACTCACACTTGCTCATTCTTCACATTAATAGAAATAAACTATCTTAATATTGTTGAAGTGACTTGTTACTTGTGAATTATTGGAATGTGAGGCGGCCTCATGTGAGGTGAGGTGAATGACGTCACAGGTAGTTGACCCATCAGGCGAAGGTAGTCAAAAGGCGCGGCGGGCAGTGTGGTGCGGGACGTCGTGGGGAGAGGTGCTGCTCACCGCCCGCCTCACTAGTGTTACTAATTAGTCCCCTGAACAATCCTGTAGATGAAATTACCTGCACCAGGCTTACAGGCAAGTTACTCTAGATGTTTAGTTATTTTATCACATTGTTTTCTGTTGGTAGAACAATATTGATGATTTTCTAAATAAGCATGGCTATAAAACTTTATTCAAAATAATTCAATTAGCTCTGGTTTATTTGTTAGTAAATATGATAGTGTAATATACCTTTGTCTATTAGTAGAACCTTTTACCTTGCTCAAGACTTCATGAAGCTTATTAAAACAAAATTAAATTCTAAACGACTGCTACGTGATTAACTGTTCCATAACAGCGGCGTGAGTGTTAACTTTATAGTGAAATTGAACCTTCGACTAAAAGCAGGTGGAAAAAGTTTACAATTATAATTTAATTCTGGCAGTTACAAGGTGTTTCTTGTGAATTATCAGACTTCAGGCTTTGAAATTCGGACCAAAGACTTTTAATTTAGCAAGTGTTACTCTTCACCCCCCCCCCCTCGTCCATCCTATGTGAATGCAACTAGCCATCCTGACTCAGTGTTGTCCACGCTGCAGCCAACACCAGAGACGCCATAATTAACATTAACCTCCTGTGTAACTAAGCACCATATTTTGTCCAATACAAGTAAATATTAATGTATATTTATATAGTGTATAGGTCTGATAGTTGTTGGACATTGTAGCTCCTGAGTGTATTCCAACCAGTCTCCCTCGCGTAATAAATAACTATGTATAAAAATAGTTAATAATAGTTCACGTATGAAAAACTATTTTAAATGAATCTAGTGTTAAAATGTATGAACTGTTGTGGGTCAGGGCACGGAGGAGCATAGATTGAGGACAAGTTATGTGTGAAGCGTTCTTCACGGTCATGTTTGGCTCCCGGTTTAACGATCACTTGGCCGTTGTTGAGAACGATCATGTTTGGCTGCCGGGTTAACGACCACTTGGCTGTTGTTAAGAACGGTCATGATTGGCTGCCCGGGTTAACGACCACTTGGCCGTTGTTGAGAACGGTCTGTGGATGAGTCAAGTCTGAGGTTGGGTTTCGCCATTGTGGTAAGTCGGCTTTTTAGATCAACCAAAGTCTGACCTGATAGATTGTTTAGCGGGATATTTCTCAAACTTTACATGAAGATGTGTTCATTTTATTATTTTGAGGTATTTATTATTTGTAATTTCAGATATATGTAAGAGTGCATCAGTACAACGGCACTGCAGTAATGGTCAACCAGACCCAAGAAATTGGTCTCGCACAACGGCACTGCAGGTATGGAGGGATTAAAGTTACTTTGAAAAACTTCTCTTGAATTGCAGTGGTCATAATGGTCCCACAAGAACAATAAGTGAAGTGTTTAATAATTTTAATCATTTAACTCGCTATACCATGAAGCAGTGATCTTGTAATAGGTATAGTCTAATGTAATTTGTGCATCAACCACTTAAGTGGTAAACCATTTTTTTGGCCAGTAATTTGACCATTTAGTGGTAGGTAGTGTAACATGGTTAATGTTAATCTAACATTTTTGGGTACATTTCAATTCTCTTGCCTCCCCTCTCCATCCATCCTTCTGTCAGCCTCTTCTATCCCACCAGTCGAATCAATTATAGACAAAAATTACCCAAGAGGGTGATGCCTCAGCTGGGGTTAGAAGACTGTCCTGTGAGAGGAAAGTTGTAGAATGAGGGTAAAGTGTCGGGGCAAAACCTAACAAGCTGAATATACCGTCGGGGACAGTTTCGGGAGGCTGACCACTTGGCAGCTACGTGGCCATCATCCGCATCTTGTACAAGGTATTGGTAGCTCTGGAACGCTGCAGCAATTCTACAGATCAACAGATATTGTGGTCAGGTGGCAGGCTCTGTGAAGTGTTATAGGTAAACGTTTCTGGGTCTCCAGAACTGTGTAACGTAGTTTACCTGGTTTGTTGTTAGTGCTAAGTGTCCCTCATTATTGCGAGAAGAGACTATATAATTGGCAGAGCTCCTATGACCACAGGATAAAAGGTTTTAAAGCAGGGACACCAGACTACTCAAGGGGTCTATGGTTTTGCTGGGAATGAAGCATACTAATGTCACTGGGGGATGTTCCCTTTGTCCAAGCTAACAAAAAAGGCTCCGAAGGAAGCGAGTTCCAGGCCGGATGTTTACCGAAGGTTTCCTTCATCCAAGACTAGAGCGTGTTAACTTCCTTTCGGATGCTTCCTGAAGTTGTCGGAATGAGTAACTTGGGTAGAACCTTCCTCTATAGATTGGGTGTGTGTTCCCGTACAAAATGTTGTCACTGGAGAGGGGCCAGTTTCTTGGCAGCTTTTCCTATTAGAGATTCTGGGCAGTCACTTGACTGCCCCAGAGCTCCTCCAAGCCTTTCTCCAGATTACTCTGATCACTAGTTATACCTTTGACTCGGGTTCCCAGGGAGAAGGGTAGATCTCTTGAGAGAGAAACCGGGTGGCAGGATGTTTATAAACGTGAAGGTTTCAGACTTTGTAATAAACCTTTATGGGCCTCTTTCTCCATCTATATATATACATACGCAGGTACCTAGGAAAGGCAGCTCCTCCAAATGGTAAATTTCAGGTCTGGATGAACTTAGCCCATTCATGGATGGGTTGAACTGCAGTAAACTGTAGTAAACCAACCTCTTTCGACAAAGGTCAAATGCTCGTTTCCAGCATCCCCATCCTCAGGCCAGGCTCATTAGTGGTGACCGTACCCCCCCCCCTCTCGTTAGCTCACGGTCAAATGTATTCATCCGGTTTAACATTGGGTAAACAATTGGTTGCCATGCGTTAATATTATAATATAAATTTCAATGTAAAGTTAGGGGGTAGGTTAGATTAGGTGTTAAGATTCTGTTGGCTATTACTTATATATTATTAGTACGTGAAGTGAAAGTTAGAGCTTTCGAATTCTAATAGAGGTCGCCAGCTAGGCACTGAGAAGTTTGCACATGATCTATTGAGTAAAGTGTAAAAGCTCGTCCTCGTAAACAAAGGCTAAAGTACATTCCATACACCTGCTAACCCTGTTACGGCCCTCTCGGGACGCAACGGGGTTCTTACTCTGATGTCGTTAGAGGAAGATATATATCCGACCCCAAGCCAGTAGAGGCTTTCAAGGGATGCGATCCGTGACGCAAGTAACTTAAAGGGAGTATGGAAAGAAAGCTAAGAACTTAATATTATAATTAGTACCATCACCATTTAAATATATAAAATAAAAGAGTACACAAGGGGGAGGGGTATTAACACTTTACAAAGGGGATCATGCACAATCTAGTCTTCTGCTGAAGACTCTTGATCAAGAAGCTAGGTGCTGAGTCCGCGGTGCTTTCTTCGTGGCCTCAAGACGTGTCCTCTGAGAATGCCGAGCCTACCCTGGCCACAGGTCAGCCACAACACAGGTCCACTGGGGGCACCGTCGTGGAGGCCGTCAACCACACGTCCAGCTGGTCTGCTGGCAGGTACTGAGCCACCAAGGCTGGTACGGCCACTCCACGAACGATTTAAGGGGTACGCCCTAGACAGGAGTCTCGTGTGATATCACAAATCACCCTCCTGTCCTCAATACCCCAGTGGATGATCGTCTCCAACAGTCGGTCCCGGGTAAATCCTTTCACTGCCACTCCACTGGCAGGCTTAACACACCACAGTGTTCTTCCGGGGGGACGACATCACAACAGCTGCAGCAAACTTCACAGTATGGAGACTGGCTGCCTCGGGTAGACTGACTCCACTTCCATCACAGTGGTCCCAGGTCGGCTCTGTAAGCAGACACGTCATCAATAACAGGGACACTAAAACACCACACTTACAGGCTCAGACACAAACGCCCGACATATCCACTCCATAGATGGCGTTGTAGTCTGAGCACCACCTCACCAGAGGTCAGGAGCGGCGGTGTTGAGCGCAGAACCAGACTGGAAACTGGTCCTCGAGGCCAGTACACGCTGTCCTCACCAGGTGTCGTCGTCCGTTTGGCGGGGGTTTCGGGAGCTGACCCACAGATGGCGTGGTTGTCACTGCTCCCGGCTCGGACGCTGGATCCGGGTTCGTAACAAACCCCCCGCCCCCAAGGTTTATGAATGAAAAACCTGTTTTTAAATGTCTCGCCTTGAGGTGTTTTCGGGGCTTAGCATCACCGCGGCCCGGTCATCGACCAGGCCTCCTGGTGGCTGGACTCGTAAACCAGCCCCTTGGACGCGGCTGCTCGCAGTCTTGCCGTACGAATCACAGCTTGGTTGATCTGGTATCACAGCCTGGTTGATCAGATAGGTCACAACTGATGACGTTCAAACATATCTTTAACACTGATTCGTTGACGACATTTGTTTGAACCACAATGCTGTAAATGCTTCACCCACGTACTACAAATACAAATAATCGCCAACATAACCTAAACACCTAACCTAACCAATGCCTAAATATGCACCGTATACTAATTGTATAACAATATTTTTTATGTATTTATTATATACTGCTTATCACATAGACCAACCAGGTCGTAACACTTGCACCAGAGAATCTTCTAAAGAACCAAATCTTTTGTATGGGACTTTACCTCATTTTGTTGTACCAATATCTCTTCTCCGTTGTACCCATTGTCGTTGTCTCTTGTGTAGCTCTCGTATCTCTCATTCCTTTTTTCGTAGGGAGCCTTCAAAAATGTAATGCCCCTCTGAGGCCAATGTTACAATTGGCGGTCATTCCATGGGTTGTCAAACATTATTGAATCAGTTGACCTGGTTCCTATTCTGGGGGGCCACAGCCTTCTCTGGGGGAGAGGGTGGCCCCTGTTACCAAATACCCGCAGGACATTACATGGTCTGTTACAGCTATAGCTGCTTTGTAGTGTAACTGGTCCTGGTGACCAGGCGTCTCCTCCTCTTAGCCTCTGTCTGTGCCTATCGTTGTCTCCAGCTTGTTTGCCATATGCATTATTTCTGTTCAATCGACAGAATCTTTTATTCAATCTTTTATTCTTTCAATCGACAGAAATATAATTTTTCTGCCGTGTTCTGGGTGCCTGCTGTAGGAATCATAGTCCTGTGTACTCTTTGAAATCCTTAGTCAAAGTCCACAATTCATCTAGGTCTGCTCAGAGTACTAGTTCCATCATTATCACATACAAACAAGGATAGAACAGACTTCCTGGTTTCATGTTTTCTCTCAGCTGATGCTATTGATGTGTTCTGTCAGTAGTGCTTGCTGCACAATCCTGGCTGTGAAAAAAAAATCCATGACCTAATAGACGAATAGCAGACAAATGCGTAAACGAATGTGACGGGAAACGTTGGTGGTCGTGCAGTCTCTAATACCAGTCACAAAATATTAAAAAAAACAAAAAATAAACTGCAAAGGTGTCTTCAGTTAGGTAAACTGTAGGATAAAGCAGAGAGAAAAAAAAACATTTAAAAAATAATTTACTTTAAAAATAAATTAAACAAATTACAAAAATATCCAGGCTTGGCTCTAATACAAAGTGTGCAAAACAGGATGAACAATCAAATTTACGTTACGTTAAGGTGCAAAATATGGTGCAGAATACTATGGGCTAGACTGACTAAATCCGTTACCACACAATGTTAACAGGTCTACTCAGTTGAGCACACAGGAGTAATCTAACTAATGTTGAGCAAGAACGCCCAATTTATACAGAATATCAGCCGGGCAGATGGCGCTGGTGACTTCTTTAACTATAAAACTGCTTGTTTCGGAAGGCGTGGTCTCCCAGCAACCCAGGTGCAAGGTGGGGTGAGGGTCGATGGGGTAGGTAGACTGGTGGTATTGTCTAGACGTCTGGAAGTAGTAGTGGTTCTTGGCTGCAGTTCTTGATTAAATAGACATGAATGAGTAGAATAGGTGATAATGGAGTAGGCCGAATCTGTTCCTAGAGATTTTACCGTGACAAATGACAATTCCATAAAGTAATGTCAAGGTTTCATGGTGTCGTGGACTAGTAACAAGGAAGGTTAGACCTGCCTTAGTGTGAGTGAACCCTTCAGACCTGGGTGCACGAAACTAACCCTCTACGTTCTCTCCCTATGATTGGAACAACTGAGTGCCACTGATGACTTGCATAGTCTCCTCTGGTGATCTGGGCGTGCAACAACTCTTGCAATATCCTTGGCCAGCCCAGCCAAAGTCCAGCCCATAGAAACCCAGCAAGGCAGACCTTGGTCCCAGACCAGAGAATACAGGAGAGTGCACGGATGGATGTGCACTCCTGTAGATTCTACGCTGATATACATCTGGTCATACTCACTCACCCAACTTAACACAAGTAAAAATCCTTTCTCTCATACCAGGACAAACTTGTGCCACCTCCTTGCTCTTCTGGGTGATGTAATCAATAATGTCTGTGCAGTCTTACATTTTGAGCTTTGCTACCTGTGTTTATATTATAAATTTTGTTTCCTTGTAATTTCAATTTAGATATTGCAGGCTTTGGCTTTCTGGTCCCTTCCCTGAGCAAATTATCCCTTCTTTCACCATATATTTAAACGTAAAGACAGTGTTCACTCATTCCCATGGGTCTTCGAACTTTATTTCCCATGCATGTGAATCGTTCAGTGAATTCGAGGTAAAGTCAAGCTGGTTAATCATTACGTGTTGATTACATGTTGGATTAAAACGTTTGTCATGTCCAATAGTTTAGCTCGCTCGCTGTGCCACCATATGGTTCTTGTATCTTTCAATGGATGGAGTCCCTATGATTGGAAGTCGGAATCTATTTTTAACAGGCGACAGTCTGACCTTTCAGTTATGGTAGGAACTGCAATGGTTGTCATTTAATGGAGGGTTATATATCACAGCTACTGTCTTTGGTCCTGCCATCGTCATGGTGACTGTTATGTAGTCTCTGAACTCCTCGCAGCCTGGGATATCAATCTCCTGGAAACCCTAATCCTTTATCAGCAGGGCCGCGACTCCTCCCCTTCCTTCCCTCTGTAGTGTGAGGTGTAATGTTGGCGCGAGTACACAGCCTTGTGGCACTCCAGCATTAGGGTCCAAATAGTCAGTGTATTGTTAGAGGAATCTTTTATTTTGTAGTTGTTAAAGAAGTATTTTATCGGACGTAGGTCATTCATAATTTACTTCTAGTAGTCAAGCCAGTGTGTCAATGGCCTTTTCAGTTTGTCAAGTGTTATGATATATTGTGTGGTAAATGTGCAGCTTCTCAGTATGTTAATGTCTTATGCAGGTCGGTTTGTCCTGACTCTGATTTTCAGTAGAGTCGCCCAGTCTTGGGAACGTTTTGTGCTGCCCATATACATAGGTTTCTGATCTAAATAAATCACAGGTTTATATGCTGGTGTTTTCAGACCGTTGGGAGTCGGTAATTTCTCTTATACCAGTGTTAAACAATATAGTCTTGACAAGAGATGGACACCTAGGTCTAATTCAACTTCTCCTTGTTACACGCAAATTTGGCTACAGTCAGTCATTATGGTGGGTTATATTTGTGAGATGGTATCCATACATGAGAATCTGAACCCTTTATTCTGCGACTATTTATAAGTGCAATTATGAAGCTCTTACTGTCGATCATGCTGGAAAAGTTTTGAAGAGCAGACTTTGAAACACAATTGTCACCACCTCCTGTGACTTTATATATACTGAGAGCTAGTTGTAGTGCAGCAGCAGTTTGTACAGAGGTCAGCCAGTTGTTTAACCTGGCACTTACTGTGTGGAAGTATTGTTCCTGTACCTGCATACTGCTGCAGTCCGTCCTGTAGATGATTGGACTGGGTCATCGGTGTAGACAGTACTCATGGAATCTTGAAAGTTATGACGAGAGGCAATTATTTATAGTGTGACAACTTTGGAAAGAGCAGATTCTCACTACCTTTCTTAGTGGCAGGTGTGTATGGTACTTGAATTGTGGGAACAGATGAAGAGGAATATCAGTTGCAGGTATATTGCATTTATAAGGAATGTTCAGTTTGATTAGATTGTTGGGATTTTACTCGGTCATTTATCATACAAGGAGTGAGTTGGTATGTTGCACCACTTAATACGGTGTTAACGGTACAGAATACTTTGTCTCCGAGCAAGGCTGGAGATGTAGGGTCTCATGACTTTAAGGGAAAAGGTTGAGTTGACTTGTATGATTCTCTAGTATAGTTGGAAGCTTCAGTTCTTCCCTCAAGTTAATGATTCATGTGCATCTTGGGGTACCAAGAATTACCCTCATGGCTTCATTATGTATTACTTCCTCGCCTGTTTGAACACATTGGAAGATAAATGCAATCAACTAACAAGTGTTGAATAGTCTACCATATTTAACATTAATACCAATTTTCTTACCAGAAAGTATTTTCAGTGATTTGTCTTTTAACCTAAGTTGAAGGTCGTTTACATTGTCACTGATACCTACTCAAAGATATTTGTGCTGCCTATATTTGTTTTGGTTGTTGACTTTGAAAGCTTGAGGGATATGATTCATTTTAGGGAAAAAGAGCGATGGATTAAATTATATACAAAACTGAATTCGATGCTTTTAGCAGCGAGTGAATCGCGTAGAGCTTGCAGTCTTGTTTGGGTATTCGAAACAATACAAATGTCAGACATAACAGATGACAGCTTCATCAGCTAGTGTGGGATTATCAGTTTATTTGGTGTTTTAGCACATTGAACAATGATGGGCTAAGCACGCCTCCTTGCGACGAACTCGACTCAAATGGTGCAGAAAGTTTACTTATGAGCCCCCTTGAAAGAACCGAGGCAGTTGTGATACAAGGGTACCCCTTGAGGTATGTCAAGTATAACATTATCTCCAAAAGAGGTTAATTGTTCTAAGATTAATTCCCCTTTTTGATGAATCAAAAGCAGTTTGGAGGTCAATAAATGTCGCCCGAGAACATGGTCCCTGTCAAATAAAATATTCAGTAAAGCAAGTCTGAATGCTTCTTCCAGGAAGTAAACCACACAGACTAGGAGCAAGTTGGAATCTAATTTGAATCATTAGCCTGTCGTGTATAATGTTTTCAAGAACTTTAAACTTACAGGATGTCAGAGATGGGTCTGAAGGCTCCAAGAAATCACATTAATGTGATGTATCAATGAGAAAATTAGATGCTTGTGAGCAGGATTCGAACCTCGGCTCTGGGTAATCAAAGACAGGATAATCAGGGTGAAAGAAACGCTACCCATTTGTTTCCGCCTCCAGCGGGGATTGAACTCGGAACCTTAAGATTAGGAATAATAAAAGCTGTCCACTCAGCCGTCAGGCCCCTTTGCAGGAATTAGGCAAATAAGGATTCACAGAGGAAAAAAACATTTTTCAAGGTCGCTTCAAGGAACATTTAACGTAGATTGTGTGAAGCCATTAAGGTTTAGTGAGAAGATAAGCATTACCAGGTTAGTGTCAGCATGAAGGAAGGTTTAGGGAGTGTGAGATACAATACCTGTTAGCAATGATTACTTCCCGTACAAGAGTAACACCCAGTCGTGACTGTCTGCCCTTCCGTTCGTCGGCTGACTGTGGTGACTGTCTGCCCTTCCGTTCGTCGGCTGACTGTGGTGACTGTCTGCCCTTCCGTTCGTCGGCCGACTGTGGTGACTGTCTGCCCTTCCGTTCGTCGGCCGACTGTGGTGACTGTCTGCCCTTCCGTTCGTCGGCCGACTGTGGTGACTGTCTGCCCTTCCGTTCGTCGGCCGACTGTGGTGACTGTCTGCCCTTCCGTTCGTCGGCCGACTGTGGTGACTGTCTGCCCTTCCGTCCGTCGGCCGACTGTGGTGACTTGTCTGCCCTTCCGTTCGTCGGCCGACTGTGGTGACTTGTCTGCCCTTCCGTTCGTCGGCCGACTTGTCTGCCCTTCCGTTCGTCGGCCGACTTGTCTGCCCTTCCGTTCGTCGGCCGACTTGTCTGCCCTTCCGTTCGTCGGCCGACTTGTCTGCCCTTCCGTTCGTCGGCCGACTTGTCTGCCCTTCCGTTCGTCGGCCGAC